CGCATGTTTAACGCATAGACGTATTACAGAAGCATGCAGTGCCGTAGGGAGTTCTTTTTGATTGGGGGGGCTGAGAACGAGCTGGGGCCGAAGGCCCGAGAAAATTTTTAAATTTAGAGTCTCGGAAATGCCATTTTCTGGACTTTGGGAAAGTTTTGACAGAATTCTAATGGTTAGAAAACAGTGTTTTAGTTTGTCGAAATTTACAATTTGCTTACAATTTAGTAGTACTAAATGGGCAAAGGCGTATTGGTGGGGTTGGTGGGGGGGGGGGTCAGAAAACTATATTTACGATTTTTAGAATGACAATATTGACAACAGATCTTTGGAAAATTAAACTTGAAACGCGTACTGACAGAGCAATTTGTGCTGTTTTAACGCCGGGTGGCAATAGAGGCCATAATTTTAACGAAACAATGAGTATATCAACGAGCAAGTTTGAGTAGTGGACTCGTACTGACCGAGTTCTTTGATATCGAGTCCAAGTCCGATGTGTTCAAGTCCCGGAGTCATACCCTCGAGTCCAAGTCCGGGGACTCGAGTCTCACAACACTAGTATAGCCAACTGAACTAATTAATAATGGTAATTGAGTGGAGTGCAATAACTTGGTTTCAAATCAAACGCGTGATTACAAAACGCGTGATTACCACTTTATTATATTCATTTTGAAATTTTTATACAGTTTTGTAAAACGGAAACAGTTCTTTGTTTACGAAAGACAGCTCAAAATTAGTGCAATTACAGCTCTAAAATAGTGCGATTTCGGCCGTAATCGCATTATTTTTAGCTAATCAGATTGCTCGAATCGCGAATGATTTCAAAATGAATATGATAAAATGATTACTGAATACATATTTAGGTAGAAGTAAACCTTAATTTTCGCATGCGACAAGTAATTCTAGAATATTTTATTTCTCAATTTAAGACAACATTCTAGTAATTATTTAATTAGCAATTATTAATTGACGAATCGAATAAATATATATATTTTAACGATTAATTATTCTGTAAATATTAACCAGGCTTTGTTTAGTTGTTGTTGACGTTTCTGATATTAGTGACTAGCAGGGCGCTTATATATTTTGTTGTTGTTAACATAGAGAGGAGGCATCGAGTTTAAAAATTGGGAATGCAGCTAATGGGGGGCAAATTTAAGTCCCGGATATAAAATCGTGCTCTCATTGGCTGATTTGAAACTCGTCACCAATAGGAACACGAATACACATCCGGGACTTGAATTTGCCCCCCAATAGTCGCGTTCCCTTTTTTTTACTGAATTAAGATTACAATGCCTCCTCTAGTGTTATTTATAATCTCTATGGTTGTTAAATTAAACAATGTCGCTATGGATGGCAACAACAACAGACTCGTTACCATACCTCTGCATCACACATCGATCGGCGCGCCAATAGCCGTTGCACCCATAGATATAGGAGATCTAGATTGCTAACGCATACCTAGCGCAGGCGGGACCTACATGATAAATCCAAGATGGCGGTACAACAGGGCAAAAAGACTATAGATTCTATTACGAAAATCAGGATTTTTGCATTTTTTGCCGTTGCATTATTTCGAAACTTATTCGGTCAAATTTTATGGTAAAGAGAAACTTACCGCGAAGATTTTGAGCATATATATGATTGAATTGGATGAAAAATCGCAAAATTATCCAGCGATAAAAGTTCGTGTGAAATGGTCAGTTGGTCAGTTGGAGCGTTTTATTGCCAGAAATACTGTGCTATGTTAACATCTAGCCTTGTGAATGGTGTTTTATACTTGCATCTCTCATCATCATCTGCTCTGTCCTCATAATTATGAAAAATGAACTGTTATGCACCCCCCTCCCCTCCTTGCTTGTTAGAGAAGTAAACTGATGAGAGCACTGGATGAGGGTCTATCATCTATGGTCTGTTATAATTTGCTTTTTATGCAAATAGTGAGCAAAAATTAAAGCAAAACTGTACAAGTTACATATATAGTACTATATCAGTACTATACACGAACTTTTATCGATGGATAATTTTGCGAGTTTTCATCCAATTCAATCATATGTATGCTCAAAATCTTCGCGGTAAGTTTCTCTTTACCATAAAATTTGACCGAATAAGTTTCAAAACAATGCGACGGCAAAAAATGCAAAAATCCTGATTTTCGTAATAGAATTTATAGTCTTTTTGCCCTGTTGTACCGCCATCTTGGATATATCATGTAGGCCCCGCCTGCCCTAGGTATGCGTTAGCAATCTAGATCTCCTATATCTATGGTTGCACCGCTCCATATATAAGCACCCTGGTGACTAGTGAGCTGAAGCAATTAGCGACGTTTTTCTCATGATAATGCGTACGTCACTAGATGCATGCGATATGGAGGCCATATATGCAGCCCAAAAATGCGTGGAAAGGTTTTGAAATCTTGGGCGTGCATATACGAGTCTACCTTGTCGGCTTGTCCTTGTTTATTGTTATAACAAAGTTGGCAAGATTTTTGACTGAAATATATTACAACGTTTGTACTAGAGTATGGATATTTAAATAAATCTACATCATTTCAAACACTGGTAATTCTATTACATTCTCTTCAAAAGTTTTCAAACGAATTTGCTTTTTTAGAAGAATGAACTTTTAAAGTTAAAATTTTGGGAGAGTGTAGTAAACTGATTACCAGTGTTTGAATGTTGTGTTTGCTTGTAATTTGCGAAATATTTCTTACTCTAGTAAACGTTGTAAACCAAACGCCAAGCGTGCTAGCGCGTGAAAGATTTTCACACGATAGTTTTCAAAACTTTTCCAAGCTATGAGATTGCATAAAAGAAAGCCTGAAAGAGACAAATACCACGCATTTTTGGATTGCCTATGGATAGACTAAGCCAATTAAGATTTATTCCTTTCCAATCAAATCAAAATATATAGCGCTACTTCTTTAAATATATAATTAAACATCCAAAGGATTTTAAAACGCAATTTGAAAATTTAGATATAAAAGTAACAAAATTTAAACATATTAAGAAGTATATCAAACAAATTTGACTCCTTCAAAAATTTAATTAATACCTTATATATATTAAATATACTTTTACAAATACTATAATTAACTTAGACTTGGCTAAATGACAACAGTGTCGATTGTTTACTTTGAACCGTCTGACACAGAACTTTCGCAACACGTGTGGGATTGTAGGAAAGGAAAGGAAAGGAAAGGGAATACAAATATTGAAATACACAACATAAAATGGTGGTCCATGTCAAACGTCAGAAGTGGTGGTCCATGTCAACTACGGCGTACCGGAATGCTCAGAGGACTCCGAGAAATACAACTTATAGTCGCGTAAAAGCTCCGAAAAAAGGATGATTATTAAAAATTATCAGGACATATTGGGCCTGTTCGGCTGTTCACACTATACTAAATATAAATCTGAGATCGATTTGGTCAGATCGATCTCAGATCGATCTAACAATGTGGTGTAAACAGATACATTGATGGTAAATGATAAATTAAGACGAGAAAGTACACTATAAACTTCACATATACATTCTAACAAGTGCTCCTGGCTTGCTTCCGTAGCAGCTAATCTGTAAGCGTGCTTGTCCAGTTTCTAATGATGTGCTCTTCTTTCGCAGGTAACAGCAGCCAATGGTAATCGAGCATTGACATTATTGATTGCCGTAATAGCGACCACTCTATCAGTCTTTACTGTTCCAGTTATGACTACATGGTTGATACCAGCATTCCAGACGGCCAGTGTTAGTTTGTTAACCATATTAACTAGAGTCATTCTGTTCATTCTTTTACCTTTGATTGTAAGTATCTGTTGCGTAATAAAAATATAATAATAATAATAATTAACGGTTAATGGTTAATATTTGGACGAGCATCCACCTCCCAATCAGTGAGGAAACTGGAAAGTGGCGATCCCATAGCAGTGCCGGAGAAATAACAATAACTTCGCATTGGACTGCGTATATATCACGGTATTGGTCTTGCCTCGGTAAAGTTGTAGCATGTACTACGTTGATGTTTTAAGCTTGGTATCAAAAGCGAATTAAATTGAAAAATAAAGAAATTCCTGGACACTTGTTAAAGTTCATCAACAAGCCAAGGTGTCAGTAAATTTCACCTAAACTTGAACAGAAATAAATTTTTGAAATTTAGGCTCTTGTTCGTTTAATTAAATTTCCAGTTGTTTATTTACGCCTAAATTCAGTTTGTGCTACTTCGTTTTCTAATCTTAAAAACTGTACAATCTTTTTTCAGGTCGGACGACTTTTAAGATTCATTGGATTGGTAAAAAAGGTTGTTACCAAACTGTATATACATCTCTGAAGTTCGTTACTTCTGGGGCTCTCCTTGTTATGTTTTGGGTGAAAATTAGTCAAGCTACAGCGAAAGTAGGCTCAGATTCCAGCCGTTGTGTTCTCGCCACTCGCCCACTTAACTGAGTAAACTGAGTTAAGTTAAGTGGGCGAGTGGCGAGAACACAACGGCTGGAATCTGAGCCTACAGCGAAAGGAGACCTTCAAAAATTTTCACCTTGGATGATTGTGGCTGTAACAGCTCTTGGTACAGCTGTGATTACGTCATTTCTTGTTTTTACCTTCATCCTTGCTTCTTTACTACGGCTACCTAAGAAATCAATCCTTGCTGTTACAGTGCTTTCATCAGCAAGAAATTCAAGTATAGCTATTGCTGTTATTGAGAATTTACCAGACAGTTTTGGGGACAAAGATCTTATATTTTTTCCCATAGTGTTTGTATATTTAACTATGGTTGTTATTATCAATAGTTTTGGTTGTTTTATGACAATCAAGAAAGAGGAAAATGACATTGAACAAGATAAGGACACCCTTGAAGACAAAGTTGATAGTGCGGACGAACTTACTTTAGTTATTAATCCCTTGGAGCAAGTACATGATATGCCAAATACAAATGACTGCGTTACGTTGCCAATATAGTACAGTGGTGTACGGCTGTATGAGGTTACTCCAAGGTTCCAGCACTATCCCTATGCTCTCAAAGCTTTCACACTCTCACCATGCTCCAAGGCTCCCACATCATCACCATGCTCCAAGGCTCCCACGCCATCACCATATTTCAAGGCTCCCACACCATCATCATGCTCCAAGGCTCCCACATCATCACCATCATCATGCTCCAAGCCTCCCACATCATCACCATGCTCCAAGGCTCCCACACCATCATCATGCTCCAAGGCTCCCACACTATTACCATCATCATGCTCCAAGGCTCTCACACCATCATCATGCTCCAAGGCTCCCACATCATCACCATCATCATGTTTCAAGGCTCCCAGATCATCACCATCATGATGTTCCAAGGCTCCCACACCATCATCATGCTCCAAGGCTCCCACATCATCACCATCATCATGTTTCAAGGCTCCCAGATCATCACTATCATGATGTTCCAAGGCTCCCACACCATCACCATGCTCCAAGGCACACCATCGCCATGCTCCCAGGCTCCTTCTGTGCACATGTAGATCACTTCTTCATTTCTCGTCGATACTTTGGAATTTAGTTTTACTGATAAATTTGTAAGGTTTATTCGATCATCAATATGTTAATTGTTGTCTTGTGGCCTCACTAGTGCGTACTTATTGTCGCTGGGCTGTTAAATTGTTTGATGGGTTTTGCAGATGGAAATTATCGAGTGTCCACAATGTCCATCTACAAAACCCATCAACTATTATACAATCAAGTGAAATGCCAAAAAATCTTGATATCATATAAATTATTTACACTACTGGACGTGCTGATGCCAAAGCTCCAAACATATAGATCTAAAGTTTGACGAACTAAGTCTTTTTTTTCTTGAATGTCATGGCAATGTATTGATTGAAAGGTTTCATAGGTATTTAGAAAAGAAGTTTCAAGCGGTTACAGCGGAGAGGTCTTGGGAAGAGGAGTTAATACCTAAAATATTAATTTATTGTACGATCATCCAGATTGAAATTTTTATTTTTTCTGACGTTTATTAAATTTTATTGTTTCCAGTGTAGAATCTGCTACATATCGAGAGAATCTTTCTGCGAAACCGAAAGAAACAGTTCAGACTAAAGTTGCGTCAACTCTTCAAACGAGTCAAAAACCAATATAAGCAATTTAACTAAGGATGAACGAGAACGTACGATTCGATTGTTATTCACTGGGAAAAAAAGTGTGAAATCCATACTATGAAATTTTCACTAAATCCATAGTATATCCATATTATTTCAATGCTATGTCCATAGTATGGAAATATACAATTATTATGGATTATTAAAATCCATTCTATTTCCAATAAAGGTCCATACAATTTCCATTCTATGGCCTTCTATGGATTTTCAAAATTTTTTACAGTGTATTACACCAGCCGATAAAGGTCGTGTAACTGTAGTAATGGATAAATCTGAGTACCATAAAAAATGGATACTTTGGTGAATGACGGGAATACATACAAAAAAGTTAAGAGCGATCCTCCAAAGAAGTTACAACGTAACCTAAATAAAAAAGTTTGACCGTCGCATTCATTCAGATAAAGAAACCTTTGTATTCACAACTTCGTTGTTCGGTTGTACAAGCTCCCACACTGTACGGGTTGCCTAAAATTCACAATGAGACCTATATATATATATATATATATATATATATACAACCAACAATGAGATGATGGATGTGGGACACATACATTATATATACGACAAGAACGCCGTTCAACCTAATACGCATGATCTCTGCATGTCACAGAATTAAATCAGCGCAAAGGCCTATAGGCAATTGTGCCCCAAGCTCACTACCAGCAACTGCGGACAGCTGTTTCGCCCTTTTGGGGCTCGTCAGCGCATCCAGGCATTGGACGACGCTCGAGATTTACTGTGCGGGCATTTATAATCGTTCAAATTAAATCATTCATCAATCCTAACCTCTTTATTTGAAATAATCAGTTGTTTGTATTCTAAAGGTATGTTCCATGTTTTTATTAAACTATTTCAACAATTGCCAATAGAATTAGTGGTGCATAACCACAGTTCGGAGAGGCAATAGCCGAGACAGACTGTTGATTTTTGAGTAGCGCTTGTGTTATAATAATTTTTGTCCATTTAAGATGACCCAAAAACGTTGCGTTAGTGCATTGTACGTATTTTCAGCACGTCATAGCAAGACATGTTCAGGCTGTTAAATATCTGTCAATTTAACATTTGATAGAATTTTCGAGATTTTTTATGTGAAATCAATGGTTTCACTTAGTAAAAATAGTCCTCATGTTGTTTACACTTTCATAAAAAAATATCTTTTTTGCTTTAAAATTCCCCACCGGCGCTTAGCGCCTGGGAAATTATCCGCTCCTTTTACCCGCTCCTTTTCAAGTTACCCGTTCCTTTACCCGCTCCTTTTTTAATTACCCCCTCCTTTTTTTAACTACCCGCTCCTTTTACCCGCGATCCGCTCCTTTGACCCGCTACCAGCTCCAAATAGATACTCACCTCCAAATACAGTAAAACTAAAAAATATAGCGCAGCGAAATAATTCGCTACATTTTTTAGGCAGTAGCTGTAGGGGCGTTGTGAATGCCGGAATATCACGGAAATACGGAATATCACGGAATATGCCGGAATATCACGGAATATCATGACATTTTCCCGGAATATACCGGAACATCACGATATTTTCCGATGGTAGCCATGCGACTGTTTAATAAACATGGACGTCTGACAACATATTTTATTACAAAAGTGATGGATCTTTCCCATTTTGACGGTAAGTAACAAACAATAATTCAATACTGGAAGTCTTATATGTTGTTTATATCATTATTACGAGTGTTCACCAAAAATTTTGAATCAATATAATTATTAATTTCTCCTGAGTTACAGCGTCTTGAAAAATAAAAGTGCTGACGTCAGCAGTTTTTTTTTGAATGCCTTCAGAACTGTATTATACCATGGATTGTAAAATAACAATCCATTTAATAACAACCCGTCCAGTTATTTTACAATCCATGGTTATACACAAAATTTAGTTAAAAATTCTTGGTTAAAGTCAAGATTTGACTTCTTACCTGATATAAACAAAAATTTAAACATCTTGGCTCAAACTTGCATTTATTTTAGCATTTGATTTTTAGATAAATGTTTGGTGGTATAAAATGGTTAATTTTATACCGCCAAGCACTTATCCAAAAATCAAATGCTAAAATAAAGGCGAGTTTGGGCTAAGATGTTTAAACTCTTGTTTATATCAGGTAAGAAGTCAAGCATTTTTAACTAAATATTGTGTATAACACAGTTCTGAAGGCGTTCGAAAATAATGGTGACGTCGGTATATTCCGGGGAAATGTCATGATATTCCGTGATATTATATTCCGGCATATTCCGTGATATTCCGGCATATTCCGTGATATCCCGGCATATTCCGTGATATTCCGGCATTCCGGGTTTTCACAACGCCCGTAGCTGTAGTCAGTAGCGAACTATCTTTGTTCAAAAGTAGCAGTAGTTGTAACTGACTACATATTTTCGAAGTAGCTGTAGTTATAGCGAACTACAAAACTTCTGTATTCAACCTACCCTTGCCTATTTTACACCAAAAAATCTAACGAACTAAATGTTAAACCTAAACCTAGGCTTCTAGATAAAGGTGGGAAATAAAAAGGAAAATAAAGGTCTTGCGATCGGGGGCGGCTCTAAAAATGTTCAATATTTGTTATTTATCACCCACCGCCCCCTCTCCTATTATTAATGACCGGTTCCTAACTTTGTTTGCAAGTGGATTTTCGGCAGCAATTGCACCCCGTCCCCACACAAACAATATTGGACAAACGATACAAAGGTATATTGTCAGGCCAAATTTTTTCCAACGTTGAATAGGGGGGGGAGGAGAGAAGTACACGGAAATACGGAAAACGAAATGTCAAAAGTCTCATTATTTTTGCACGAGATTTGTCTGAGATCGAGCCGTCTGTGGGTTACTTGTCCAAAATTTGAAATTTTGCCAAACTCTTGCGGTGAAGTTGACATTTAAGGGAATTGACTAATTTCAATCAATTAACCGAAAGTTTTTTGTCCCTCAAAATATAGAAATTCCGCGAGGGGGCTGCGCGGGGGACTAGGCAAGAGTAAGGAAGTTTTTTCTAGTGAAATTTTAATTTTTTGTTACTAATCATTTAGCCTACTTACTGGAGAAAAAGGGGGGAAAAAACAAACAAAGTCAGCTGTATAGGCTAAATACGATCTATTAAAATACTTTGCGATTTTACTAATTCGATTTAGTAAAACAAATCCAATAAGCCAAAAAATCTAATGTAGTGTTTTACTTTTAAGTTGTTTCAAGCTCAATTAGCCATTATTTCCTCAGACCTGGAAAAAAGCGAGATCCTGGATCCTGAGGAACGATTTGCCTTAGCAACAAGATTGAGGAACATTTTGAATTTTTCACGCGTACTGTAAGGGAGAAGGAATCATATTTAGTTAGTTATCCGCCATTTGAGTCTATTTTGAGATTGCCGAGTGTTCTTCATATCCTGTTAATAGAATTTGAAGATTGTTTTGTTTCCTCAGCAATTTTACAACCAATATAATTGAGGAACATTTCAAAAAGGCAAATTCAAGATCCGAGGAACATTGAACACTTTTTCCAGGTCTGAATTTCCTGAGGGAAAAAGTCAGTATATGACAGTTCCTCGATCAGCTTAGCCATATGACGACAAACTAGTAAAAAAACTTTGTCATTTATACTGCAGTATATATGCTCTTGTACTTGTGGGATGTTCACCAACTAACCTAAAGTGATTTGTTCATGTAAATTTTATGCACTTGGCTTGATTAAGCAAACGCTGACACGTTAGACACACGTTGCACTACACGTTATACCTACTTCACATAATAATCTATAGAGTATTAATAGTTCAAACAATCATTAATAATTCATAAGCTTATTGGCAAATCATGTCAACCATAATATGTCACGTGCAGTGGCTTTAAACCTGATAATTATAAAACACTCTTAATTAGTATTCTTTATGCAAAGAATACTAATAAGACAGTATCTATTGTAGTCGTGTTCTCATTAGTATTCTTTATATATACTAATAAGGCAGTATATCTATTGAATTTGTGGTCGTGTTTGAAGCCGTTTAATAAACTTGCAGGTCGTTTTTTAAGTTGTTTACAACATTCGCGTCCGTGTTGTATCAGATATACAAACTCTCGCATTCGGCTCGAGTTTGTATATCTGATACAACACGGCCGCTCATGTTGTAAACAACTTAAAAAACGACTCATCTTATGAGTTCATTGGCGAAGTAATTTTAAAAATAAATTTTGTCTAAGCCGAGAAAATCAATGTTAAAGTTTATGTAAATCAACATGAATCTGTATCACATATACAGATATGACACGCTTATGATTTTTCTTTGTGTTTTCTTCATGAATTAATAATGAGTTTTTTAATATGTCTAAAGCCACTCGTGCCGGCGCGCTCGTGCATGGCTTTAAACCTATATTAAAACACTCCTGTTCGTTTATTGGCAAACAGTACTAAAATATACAGAAATCTGACACGTTACACACGTTACACCCACTTTTATATAAAAGAAGAATTATATATCTTTTTTTAAAGTAAATAATGGGTGTAACGTGCATGTGTAACGTGTCATATCTCTATATGTTTTACTCGAGATTATGTAACGTGTGGTGTAACGTGTCTAGCCAGTACATAAAAAGCCTGATATTTTGCGCATGTGCGACCAGATTTTCTTCTTTCTCGTCATCTCACATAATCCCAAAATCATAGGAGA